AATTCAAAATCAAATGTGTAATGAATCCAAGGTGTTTGTGGCAGTGCTTGCCCATATTGTTTCACATGACCTCACTGCAGCTTTGGTTCTGAACACAACATTGACAATTATAAAATCAAAATATCCATCAACTCTGAAAAACATTGAAGATGCTCTGCATCCTGCTGTGTCAAATATTCCGCCAAGATTTAATTCTTTATGTAAAAAATAAACAAGCATATCCATCTCATTAGTATGCAAATTTGCTTTGGTCCTTAATAAATGGTAAAATTATATGTATACCAAAGAATTGTTTTTAAATAAATTTCTATATGATTTATTATCAGTAAATGATTTGTATGCCTATATACCTGGGGTTGAGTAAAAATTTCTTGGGTGAAAAGGGGTTGCGAGTAGAAAAAGTTTAAGAAGCCCCGGATTAGATAACCGTTAAGATCCCTTCCATCTCTAAATCTGTTAACCTGTTATCTTTCTGGATGTGTTTTTTGAAAGAGTTGCCTTTCTCACAGAAATATAGAGGCAAAAATAAATCCTTAAAGCAAATCTTAGTGATTCTAATTGTTCACAGGCAAAAAATTTTGGAGTAGTTTCCAAAAGCAATAACTGGATATTCATCAAATACCAAACTTAGGGATAAAATGGTGCCTATAGATTTAGTTCCACAATTTCCACTTAATTGTAGAAATAAGAGTGAATCCAATGAATTCGTCTTCCCCATCCCATTTTTAACATGTATGCCCAACTAAGGCATATATATTTAGTTTATGTTTACTCCTTTTCCAAACTCACTTTGGTACATGGATAATCATTTGAATTTATTTTGATTTGAGGATGAATAAAAGCATTCTTTTTGCTTGACTTTTCTTCCCAACTTCTTTACAGCTGGACAGGCACCTTTCTTTTTACATAATGTATTTCGACCAAATACAAAACCTACCTACATAATAAGCAAAACATTTGATTGTTCAAGTCAGTATATGTAGAATTTCACATGCTCATAAAAATGTTAAATTTTCCTGTTTGGTGCATTAAACATTTAATAACTTAATAATCTAAAACAAAAATAATATGCCTCCTAAGAGTGTTACTGTTATAAAAATTTTATTTCTCCAGTTTTATAGTTTTTAGATGTTTCTTCATATTTCAAAAAATTCTTAAGAGGAATTAAGAATTCAAAAATGACTTCAGTTTCCTCAACTATAAAATGAAATGTTTTGACTAAATGCTTTCTGAGGTCCCGTACAATTCATAGTCATAATTCTAGAAACAGCATACTTAAAATATTTGTTCTATTCTTATATATTTTTTAAAAATTGAAAAAAGGGTCATAATCTTTATTCATGTATTTCTTTATGCTTTGTTGATGTGGTGGGTAAGAGAAGAAGAACATTAAAAATTACTTATTTTTAATGAAAAATTTGTTTATAGAAAATGCCCTTGAGAAGTGCAGGATTTGTGGCTATATTTAGTATGAAATTAACATTTGTTGCTAAAGAATTTTTAAGGATCTTCATGACAGAAAGAAAGCAGTAAAATCTAGATCTTAGTAGCTATTTTCTATTACCTCCCAAAGCATTCTTCCTCCTTTCTAAAAGAGTTCAGTATCTGGCTGTCAATCTTCATTTGTGTCTCACTACCTTACCTCCTTCCAGAGTTGTATGAGGGGATTTCAGCATTACATATTGATATTCTTTCAAACACTCCCCTCTTCTCAAACTTGTTACACACTTCCAAACTACTACTCCATTATACCTCAGGTAAACACGGTGATGATTACACTCTTCCTCTTTCTATCACCCTCAGTTGTTACACTTCCAAGATCCCTTCCAAAATTCCTTTACCTAATCGTAACCTCTTGTCATCCATCTCTCCTTGTGTCTTACTCCTTCTAAACCTATTGTTTAGGTTCACTGTGATTTCTAATCTCTACATCTTAGTACCTTTCCAGGCCACTATTCCTACTTTCATTTTATCTTCCTTCCTTTTGAATCCAATTATTTGCTCCCTTTATTTAACAATTTCAATTCTCTTATACTTTTCATTCTCGAAAGTCTTGAACCTCTGTCTTATCTGCATTCATTCTCTCCAAAGTTACAACCGTGCTTTACTCTCATCATATGCTTCCTCTGCACCAACATGAAGGAGACTTCAGAATGTCATACAAGTTTGTTGACTGGGTCTGTTACAAATTGTTTGTTTGTTTTTAATATAATTTCACCAGGACCTTTACTAGTAACACAATCTCTTTAATCTTTCTTTATTGAATCTTTATCCCAGTCCCCAGAGGGTATATTCCAAGCTTCCCAAACTACACCCTCTCTCACAGTTAAAGACCTTGCCTAATATTTAACTGAAAAAATGAAAACTTCAGTGTTGTTCCAAGACTTTCAGTATGAAGCCCCTTGTCGCCGAGTCACAACCCCTTGACATCATCTTGTTTCTCCTCCATTCTAGTCCCTAAGAAAGAAGTGGCTCTTTTTACTAAGCCAACCCTGCTAACTGTATTCTTGATTCTATGCCCTCCTTTATTTTCTAGCAGGTCATCAGTCATGTCCTTTCTTTGATCTTTAGTCTTCTCCTGTCTACTGTATCCTTTCCTACTGCCGATGAATAAGACCAAATCTCCTCAGTCTTAAAAAAAAAAAACTTACTATAGATCCTACCATCATTCTTTCTTTTCTCCGCTTTCTCAACCAAACTCCTAGAAAAAAAATCTGTCACCTCCACTCCTCTCAATTACTTCTCTCAAACCATTTGGATTCTGGCATCTTCAATCTATAGGAATTCTCTTTAAAAGTACCAACAATTTTAATTGCCAATTGTAATGCAATACTTATCCTTCTTGACCTCTTTGTCACATTTGACTGATACTGTATGCTTTGTCCTCTCTAAGTTCTTGTGACACTGCTCTCTTTTGCTTCTCCTATCTGTATGACTGCTCTTTGTCAATCTACTTTGCTCTACAACATCCAAATCATAGCTGGTATATCCCAAATCTGTCTTGGCCTTCTCTTTTCACTTTACATTCTTTCTCCATGACCTCAGCTTCCTTGATTTAATTATCAACTCTGTTAATGACTCCCAGATCTATATATCCAAACCTGGTCTCTCTCAGACTCCAACCCCCATCATGAAATGTCTATTAGACATTTTAAACTAGATGCCCTATAAGTATCTCAAAGTCAGCATCTGTAAAACAGAATTTGTTATCTTTCCCTCTAAATCCATCCCTCTTCCAAACTTTCATATTTCTATTAAAGGCACTACTATGCTTCCAGTCACCTAGATTTGCAAATGTAAAATCATCCTCAGCTCCTCACTTTCCTTCATCCCACTTGCAGGATTTTTTCATTGCTACCTTTGCTACCTTTCATTGCTACCTATATAGAACATGTCATGTATTCATTCCCTTCTCTCCACTCCCATGGGTACCCCTTTAGTTCAGTCTGTCATCTTACTATGATATTCTTTTCCAGCTTACATATTCAAATGAGCTCTGCCTCAGAGAAATGAAACTTTATAACCTAGAATGTAGTTTTTCTCTTCTTTTTTCTTTTTTTTAGGCAATTGGGGTTAAGTGACTTGCCCAGGGTCACACAGCTAATAAGTGTCAAGTGTTTGGTCTGAAGCTGAATTTAAACTCAGGTCCTCCTGACTTCAGGGCTGGTGCTCTATCCACTGCACCACTTAGCTTCCCCTGAATGTAGTTTTTTCTAAGGATACTGTTTCATATACCTGTGTTTTTCTACTTTATTCTAAATGTAGTTTTTAAAGAGTGATAAAGTTTTTAAACTGTGGGCTTCTGTTATTGATTTATCTCTGCTACCATCTGAAACATAAAAAATCTAATTCTGCAAGAGAATTAGTACTTAGTCATATGCTGGATATAACTCTTGCCCCAAGACCTTTTGGTTTCATCAACTCTTTTTATTGGTGGAGATCAATGCCCATGCCTGCTTGAGGGACAAGGCTGAGTTAATGAAAAGTGGGAGAGAAGAGAGATCTGCTCTTTTCAGTCTCTTTCTATTCTTCTGGCTTCCAGCTTTGAGATGGACAATGTCAATCCTGCTTCAGGTTGCTGAAGGGAGAAGACTGGGAAGAAGCTGATATGAGAAGAATTGGCAGTGGCCATCATGTCCTTATCCCCATCTTGTTACACTAGAGATTTTAGGGAATTACCTCATTGTGTAAAATCTAGAATTCTTTCTCCTGGTTGAGGTGATTTATTTCACAACTAATGGGAGAGCATTCTTCATTCTGTAATGTCTGGTATATATTCTCTTATGTATTCTTTCTCTGATTTCTGTTTTGCCATCAATTTGGATGAATAGGTTTCTTTGCTAATGGTTATGTATGTTCATTGTGAAATTAGTATTTGGTGGCAAAGGGATCAAATATTGGATGTAAAGTTTGGGGTCTTCCTTTTCCCCTGAACTTGAAAACTACATCACTTAGACTAATAATATTAAAGGTAATAGACAGATATAATTCTAGCCTTATACCCCTCTCTGAGGAAAACAGACTGGCCAGCTTCTGACAGCCCCAACTTCCTGCTTCCCCTCCTGGTAGGAATTAACTTCCCTTGGAAATGGGGTGGGGATAAAAGAGTCTAGAAATGTCTATTTTGCCTCCCTTCAAGCCACAGTAAATGATGTCTCATGCTACATGTGGGGGACAGCTCAATTACATAGTCATAAAGTAATAAGTACAAGGAAGGGGATTTTGGTTCTTCCAGTCTCCCTCCATCTCAGTTGATGTAGTCATAGATGTCAAGGTGTTAATGTGGTAGTGAAGTGTTAATGAGTATTATCCCTTTGAAAAGTATACCCACCTGTCTCTCAGTCATAAAGGATATTTTCAAAGAGAACCAGTGACATCACAGGATGATATCTTGACTTTTGTGTGAATTGGATTTAAGTCAGCCTTACTCTCTCTTCCAGAGTCGTTGAAGTCCAGTGACAAAATAAAAGTCAAGATGACTGACGATGGCCTGGGAGGCAGTAGATGACCTTGGGGTCTTCAATATCTGACCAAGCACTGAGCACCCCACAGTGCCTGCTTTAGCTGCCTTTGTGGACATTCGAACATACTGTTTTCATCCACCTATTCCATCAGGGAAAGTCTTCACGTGCTTGGGGTAGACATCCCACTAACTCACCAATGTGTTTGGAGCCTATTGGATTCCCTCAACCTGGTTTAGTCCATCTGCCAAGATGGTTCACTGGGGTGTGGCCACTACTCATGGAACCACGGGTGAGAGTTAAGTGCCAGGTACCAAAGTTAAGTTGAGAGTTGAGTACCAAAGATGGATAAGCAGCCCTGAAAAGGGCTTATCAAGCCCTCACACCAGAGATTCTAGTCCTCTCTGAATATCCCATACACCATACATTGGAAATTAACAGTTGACCACACTCTTTGGTGTTCTTTAAAAGATATGGTCCAGTCAATTTGAATTAGTTGAGGAAGGAGCCAACAGTTGAAGAACAATCAGAGACTCCATCTCTTGTTGAGGGGGGTGGACGTTAGGGGTAGGAGATTTTTAATCTTCATTTTCCTCACCTCACTCCCATTCATTAGCCATAGTTTCCAGTCATTCACATTTCTTATATTTATTTCTAGGGTAGTTGAAAATAAGTATGAGTGTAAAAAATGTCAAGGATTTCACGAGTTATATGTTGTATCAAAAATTTATAACATTATTTAAAAACGGTATATTCTCCTCATTCTACATATCTTATAGTATAGGTCATTGATGAGTAGTATCTGTAGGAAGATAGAAACTCCCCATGCCTGTCTATTTTTTAGTCTGATTTTGGTTGATTAGACCTTAAAATGACAGTGTGTGGGTTTTGTCCTTTTGTGAAGAACTCTGTGGAGATGAGAAGATGTGTATAGGGACATGAGCACATAATAGGTAGTTTGATTGGTATGGCACTGAATAAATTAATTTAGGTATTATCACATTTTATTTTGTTAGCTTAACCTTCTCATGAGTATTTAATATTTCTTCAATTGTTTAGAGTTGTCTTTATTTGTGTGAAGTGTGGTTTCTAATGCAATACAGAATAATATTGGTGATAACGGACATCCTTGCTTCACCCCTGATCTTATTGGAAAGGTTTCTAGTTTAACCCCCCAATGCTTACTGTTGATTTAGATTGATAGTACTTAGTTTAATAAAAGCTTTGCTTTCTATTGTTTTTGTATTTTGGCAAAAGATTTTTCTGCATCTATTGATATCATCATATGATTTTTATTGTTGTTGTTATTGATATAGTCAGTTATGCTTATAATTTTCCTAGTATTGAACCAGCCCTGCCTTTCTAGTTTAAATTCAACTTGGCCATAGTATGTGATCTTTGTGATATATTGTTGGAATCTCCTTGCTATTATGTATTTATTAATTTATTTTTGCATCAGTATTCATTAGGGAAATTGGTCTCTAGTTTTCTTTCTCTGTTTTTGGTGTCCCTGATTTAGGTATCATAGTTATGTCACAGAAGGAATTAGTAAAACACTTTCTTTACTCATTTTTCCAATGAATTTATGTAGTGTAGGAATTAATTAATATTTAAATATTTGGTAGAATTTGCTCAAAAATTCTCTGGTCCTGGGCTTTTTTCCTTAGGGAGCTAATTTATGGCTTGTTTAACTTTTTTTTCCCCTAAATTTTACTATTTAAATTTTATATCTCCTTTTCTATTAATTTGAGCAATTTATGTTTTTATAAATATTCATTCATTTCATTTAGATTGTCAGTTTTATTGGCACATAGATGAGCAACATAGTTCCTAGTAATTGCTTTACTTTCATCTTCATTGGTTGTGAATTCCCCCTTTTTATTTTTGGTAATGGTAATTTAGTTTTCTTTTTTTAAAAATCAAATTAGCCAGTGATTTATCTATTTTATTGTTTTTTCCTCATAAAACCGGCTCCTACTTTTATTTATTAATTTGTTGTATTTTGTTTTTTACTTTCAGTTTTATCAGTCTCTCCTTTTGAGTTTCAGGATTTCTATTTTGATTTTTAATTGGGGAGTTTTAATTTGGTGTTTTTGTAGATTTTTTAGTTGCTTGCCAATTTATTTATCTGTTCTTTCTCTCTTTTATTGGTGCTTCCTCACTGCTATTGCTTGCCACTGCTGTTGCTTGCTGTGCTCTTGGCCAGCCCCTACCTCAGTGTCTCCTTTTGTCTTTCTTACTAAGCTTCCCTGGGCTGGAAAAACAACTTATGGTGTCTTTTTCTTGGCTTTCCTGCACAGAATTCTGTTTGATGTTTTCTGTAGTTATTCAATAGGAGAGATTTTATAGGAGGTTTAGCAATTGTGACCTTCCACTCTACCATCTCATCTCCACCTCCGAAAGTACTGACTTCAAAAGTGACTTGAGATGGATGTTGTAGTTTGGAGCTTTTGTTTTACTTTTTAAAGTTTACCTCCTAAGTAGAAACAATATGGAAATAGTTTGTAATTCTAATTAAGGCAAAGGTTTAGTTCTCTTTGTTCCATGCTAATCACTAATCAGTTTGTCACTAAGGCACAACTATGTTGCCAAAAATGTCATCTTTTCCACGAGCCATAGATCTGCTAATTCAGTAGGCTAGAAAAGGTTAGATCCTGATAATATAACTGAGGCTAGTTTTAACTTGAACATTCAGAACTATTTTGTTTTCTTTTGTTTTTGTCACAGTTTATGAAATAGAAATTCTTTTTTATTCTATGTGTTTGTTGCTGTGTTGTGTCTCAGAGAGATAATTTTGTATGGGGCTAGGTAAATAAAAGTTACATTTTGTCTTTGGCCATATTTTAAAATTTCTTTTCTTTAATACCTAAAGCATAATTTTTAGATTATGATTTGTCTTTAATTGACACATAAAATTCCAAATCATACTTTCTAAGTAATGTTTAAAAGCTTTTAGCAATATTAAATCAATTCTGTTAAGGTAATTAAATTGGCTGGATTAGGTACTTAAGTAATAGATATGGGACTGGGTTTTTTAGATGAAGCCAAAGAACTACAGTATACTTTTGTAGCAGAATTTTTAACTGATAAGTTAGTCTTCCGAGTCTCATATGATGTAAGCTCTTTGAGAGTAAGGACTGTCTTGTTTGCTTATGTTCCTATCTCTAGCACAGTGCCTCGCCCACAGTAAGTACTTAATAAATGCTTTATCCATTTATCAGTAGTAGCCATGATACCACATTTTATTGCCTCTCTCCTGCCAAGGAGAAATGTACTCAGATACAACTTAATATTGGTCTCTATAAAATGAATGAATGACTAAAAAAAATTTGTTAAGTAATTGCTATTTGCCAAGCATTATTCTAAGGACTATAGATACAAATACAAAAGCAATGACAGTCCTGCCCCAACGAAGCTTACATTGTAATGGAGGAAACTAGAGATAAAAGGAGTGGTGGACAAGGGAGGGACACTTTTTAGTTTTAGGGATGGTGTTATAGGAACACTGGGGAGTAGATAAAGACAGGTTTGATTCCATGTTTCATACTTTCATACTAAAGGGTTGAGGGTCTGGTAGTAAAGAATAGGTGTGTGGGCCCCATTGACAGGCAGTTGGCTAGGTAGCTGGGAAGAAGATAGTCAGTCAGTGAGGAGGTAATGAAGTGAAGAATGGTGGGTTGAGAGGTAGTCCCTAATCAGGAGGATAGGGCCCAAGTAGAAATTCTTTTAGTGCAGAGTCACTGGTGTGGGCTACAAGGTAGTTGGCAAATGGTTGTGGAAGAGGAGGTAGCTAGAAAGGCAGTAGGGGGAAGCATATTTATTGGGTTTGGAGTTCATGTCATAAAGAGAAGACACCACCCATCCCCGAAAAGATTAAGGCTGTGGTGAGCTGAGTACCCAGTACCCACATGCCAGGACTTTCTGAACTGAGCTGTAGAAGAGGAACCTTTTGCTTTTCATTTTCTAGGAGTTTGGTGCAAGCACAGCTTGAATGAGTGTATGGCTTGAATGAAACAAACTGACCCTGGGTTTTATGGCTAGAATGTTGATGGTGATGACAAGAATAGACTCAGACTTTTGAAAGTTATTGCTTTCTTAAGGTTTAACTTTCCCCACCCCTACTCCCTTGTCACTAGTCAGTATTTGTGATGCATGTCTGTATATTGATTACATACAAGGAGTATAAAGATGGATGCCACTGATTAGTTGGGATAAAAAACAAAATCAAGTTAAAGATTTAAGTCTCTATCTTAAACATTAGTATTTTATCCTAAATGGGGGCTGTAAGCTGTAATCAGATAATCTTATGGTTTTAATTATAACTTTCTAAAATAGCAGAGACATCTCACACAGACTTCAACTCTAGGTTAATGGAGTCACTACTGTAAATCAGAGATAGGTATAGATTAGAATTCAGGTACCTCAAGAAATCTCCTGTTTTCCAGTGAAGGGTAAAATAGAGGTTTAGACCAAAGGAAAATCAAACCTCCATGGCCACCCACTGGGAAGAGCAAGGCATGGGGTGGGAAGCAGAGGGGTGCATCTATCCTTTCCCCTTAATCCAATTGGAAGGATAGCAAACCTTGTCTCGCAGTGCCACCTACTGGTTATATTGATATGGAAACAGTCCAAGGGAAGTAAAGTAATTTGGAAAATGTCAAACAATTAGTAAGATGTAAAACTGATATTTGAATTATCACTTTTTAATAAGAAGAAATTTTATGATGCCTCAGCTGAATATTAGTTCATAGATTTAGAGTTGGAGGAGATGTCAGAGATCACTTACTTCAATTTCATCATGACATTGAGGCCTGGACAAGTTAAAGGTAACTTACTCAAGGTCGCACAGGTAACAGAACTGGGATTCCTCTGATTCCTAATCCAACCCACTTTATGCTCTAGCTCACTCCTTCTTTTGAGTAGATTCTCTCCAGTAAAATTTAGCCTGACATTTAAAACCAAGAAAGTATGTTCAGATTCATTTTATTGATCTGTAACTTTAAAACAAAAACACAAGTTTTAGCCCAATTTAGCAGGATCAGTTGATGGGGTTTTTTTTAATTTAATTTTGTTTTTAACCTTAGATAAACTATTGTATCAGATTTCCCTCAGTGGCTATATCTGTTTTATCCAATTGTGCATTGCACTTAATCTCTACAGTGATGCTGGAAGATAAAAAGAAAATTTGTGCTGCCCAACAGGAACACTTGTATTCTGTTTCTTAGATGATAATGTTGAAACAGGATTTTAGAAAGAAGTAAGGCATTCTTAACTTAAGTGTGAATTAAGGAG